ATTTATTTATATTCAAGTGTGTTACCATTTACAATTAATTTATATTGTGTTTCGTTTTTGGATCTTTAGATCCCCACTTCCCGAGTATTAATTTACTCAAACTCCACAATCGTTCATACTCTTAGGAGCGAGTATTGAGTCAAGATTGTCATGAAGTGTTAGTAGATTTTCTATAGAGATTAGAAATAGCATGGAAATTGTGACTAACATTCATGAGTGCTTAATAGAGACTTAAGTATTGGAGAAACCCATACTCAGAGGGATTGCTTCATGGATTCAATCACGAGCAACTGTGAGACGGTAATATTTTTTATTCTTAAAAAAGAGAGACATTTAAGTACTTTGGATATGAGTTAGTTATGTGTTAGTCTTACTCTAACGCTATCCGTAACTGGTGGCCATAACGAGTAGGTCTATGCATGATTTGACTCGTAGAAAAAATTTGTGTAGTCAAAATTTATTTGTCCCCTTTCTTTATAATGGAAAATGCAATATCGCGGGCTTCTTAGTGATTTGATGATGATATACATGTGTTAGGCCTAGACCAGACTTGATTGGTGTGTTTGATTAGTAGTATGATTTGATCATCATAAATCAGAAGATCGAGAAACAACTGATGGATTGTTAGGTTGACTCATATTCCATGACTCAGTCCACAATGATATCTGGAAAGAAACGAAAGAATAATTGATCACTTATCTAAGGGTCAATTCTTGATAAGATCAAAGTTCGACAGTTTCTATGGAAGGCATGCTTTGTTGTTTATTCGAAGTCTATCTGACCAATAGTAGTTGATGAATTGTCCAAGTGAGAGACTGTTGGAAATATGTGTCCAATATCATAACTAATTGGTGTAACTTTGGGAATAATAGCAACGTCCTTTTTTGGGTTGCCCTCAATAGTAAGAATAGCTAGAAATAGTTTAAAGAGATTGAGAAAATAGTTTATTAATTTATTATATGATTAATAAATTAGTTAAAAACTAGCTGGAATTAATTTGGAATTAATTGGAATTAATATGGAGGTACAAGAACTGAATGTTAATTTTTCAATAATTGAACAAAGGGAACATTCTGGACGGTTTTGGGACTCCTTGGAGGGTTCCAGAATTGATCTAAGTAACATATAAGGTAGTGATTTGAATTTGGACTATGTCCTAATATTTAATTGATTCAAATTAGGGTTATCCTGTTACCACCACAACTTTATATAGGGACCTTGGGGATCTTATAATTGCGTCCCTTCTCTACCTCCTGAAAGGCTGTGAATTTCGATTCTCCATCCCCTCCTTCTCTCTCTCTCTCTCCTTAGTTTGGTTTTTGGGTGTGAAACATTAGAGGTACTCTACTTTGGGTACTAGTCTTCCAAAGAAGCAACAAGAGATCAAGGAATCAAGCATCAAGACAAATCAATTTTGTTTAAGGTTAGTATTCTAATCCATTTCCTTTATAGCTTGTTGAGTCAGTTTTAATAGTACGTTGCTATAATAGTAAAACTTAGATCCTAGGATGCATGTACCCTTAGGACAATTTATGAATGCTTCCGTTTCCGTATCTAGTGCATAGTTAAATAGAAATCCCAACACCATCATCTACAACCAGAATTGTCCACCTACACCATCATCGTCCACCTACCTGAAAAATGATTCTTTTTAAAGAAAAACGATTCCATATGGATTCCATGCAAGATTATCAAGGAACAAAAACAAAGTGAAAGTGAGAACTCGGCTAGGAACATCTCTGACGATCAACATACCTTCTTTAGGAACCACCTCCTCATACGCGGGATAGATCACATTATTGATTGAAAAGTGAGATCCGTCCTGTAACCAGTGTTGTGAGGTTTTTCATAGATGATGAAGACATTGTTTTACTAAAACAAAGAAAGAAAAATCCAAGATTTAGGATTTTATGTTATCGAACCATTTGAATTCATTATATCTTTGTAAAGCTCTTCAAGGGTACATGAAAGATTCATGTGGATCAAGGCTTTCCGGTGACATGAACTGAATACACCACCACCAACACCGCTACTTGAAAACCTAACACCTCTCATGTCGGAGAGATTTCTACCGTCTCCCACTCCCCTGAACCTGAAAAAAGAACTACGAACCTAATTGGTTCATCTGGTGGTAGTACCTAACCGGTAGCGAAGTAGGTGGCTCCTTCTGGCCAAATCTCAAAATCTTCGTCTTTCTCTATTTAATTAGAGTTTTCCTTGGAGGAATACAACTCAGAAAGAGGTGAACGAGTCCAGTAACTACATCCACCACATACCTCCATTTAATTTTCGATGAAGACGGACTGGATGCTGCATACAGAAAGAACCAACAATGATGGTGAGGTCGTGTTCATGGTTCAATGGTATAAGGGTTAGAGATGTTGTGTGTAGATCTTGAATTTGGGGTTTCAGATGTTGTGTAGATTGTAGAGATGAGACAGACGGTATTTGGGAGATACGAAGAAGACGGTGAAACTTAGGAATAATAAAAGAAAATGTTTTTCATACCTTCTCTCCTATTTGGCATTAGATACCTGTTATACTAGGTGACTTACCCAAATTAGTGGGTAAAACTCAAGTTCATACCCTTGGGACACAAAAAATAAATAAGATAGGGGACCTTTTAAACCAAAACACATAAGTTGGTTGAGCTACATGGACAATATTTAACATTCATTTTAATATCGATTATTATATATATATATATATATATATATATATATATATATATATTTAATTATAAAATTTAACTTTCATTTTAATATCGATTATAACATTTTACATTTTTTTTCAATTCTAGCATTCAAATTTCATTTTGATGTCGTCCATCTCTTTCATCTGAAACAAACATGGAACAAAACTTTAAAAAGGTCATTTTCGACTTTTGTAGATGTAGAGAAAAAGTTACTATTTATTGCATCTTTTGATTTCTACACATTAAACACTTAAAGTACATTACCTTATTCTGATTTCCCCACAAAGTACCGACGTTCTCTCTTTTTTTTATAGAAAAAATAAAAAATTTGAAGCTTATTGCTATTTTTTTACTTTTGTAATCCAGGTTGCAACATAGGTGTGGAGAAATGAAGAATACCTCATTACCAAAGCTGAGGTGCTCCTGCTGAAATGAAATGGTTGGATTTTTTTATTTTTATTTTATTTATTTATTTATTTTTTAATGTGTTGTGTATGTAAGCATGTATGACGAGTATGTGTTTGCAAGAGTGTGTGCATGTGACTTTATAAAAAACATTGTATGTATTTGTTTGATTATATGAGGTGTGAATCTTATATTTTTTTTGGATCCATGGTACGTTGTTTTTTTCTACCATAGAACTAAAAAAAACTTAAACTTGCTATTTTTTCGATGTATGTTGCATTTTTAACAATAATTTATAACGGAAGCTGTTAAAAACTAAAATAATAATAAATAAAAATACAAAGTTTGTTGCTATTTTATGATAGAATATGCGAGTAACTATATTTTTGACCCTGTAGAGAGTAACAAAAACTGGGTTTGCTAAACGTTTACAACTATTTTGTTTGAAAGTTAGTATCTTTTATTGTGAATTTAGCATTTGGGACGTATCTAAGTAGAATTTTTGTGTGGATTTAAGCACATTAACTGTTGGAGAGATTTGGTTGTATAAAGTCCTCGAGTGCTTCCCTCTCCCATAACAAAATGGTAAATTATTAACGGTTCGACAAATTTGCCCTTCATGTTCTTTTTTGGAAAAAATGAGATTTTATGTTACAAAATGTCTTAGGAAGTCGCAAATGTTTACATCTTAACTCCTGGTGGCATGGAACCCACTTTGTTTGGGATCTTTATAGGCTGCTAACTAGAAAGACAGATAATTAATTCATAACAAACAAGTTTTTATATAGCCTTATCGATATCATGTTATATATGTTATTATTGTATATGAAATGCCAACAAATCATAATCAATGTGAAAAATGATGGACATGAGATGCAAACAAACGGTAGCAAAACTGAGAGGTGCCTTAAACTTAGTCGAGGAAGATGGTGTTGAAGACGAATACAAACTAGGCATAAAGAACATTGCTTATATCTTCAAAACACATTGCAAAATTAATTTAAATTAACAATTATATAGTTACGGACAAAACATTTAAGTTTCTAAAAAATAAATGTTTGCAAATGTGTTATTATTTTTAAGGTCTATCCAGGCTCGTCCTAGATGATGGGCGATAGGGTCGAGCGGCCAGGGCCCATCTTTTAAAGGGACCCAAATTTTTATGGACTTTATTAATGATATGTTAGAAAAGTTCAATCTTGAAGATATCATTAATAATTTTGCATCTCAAAAAGTCAGAAGAAGTATTTTTCTTTAAATATATGAATTTTTGTAATCGAAAATGTTATATTTAGAAGCTAATATAAATAATTTTCTTTTAATTATTGAGTTATTATAAAATAGTTAATGAAATTTGTGTATTTTTAGAGTTTTTTTTCCTCTCTCGTCGTGGATCCAAAATATGTTTGGAACAACCTTATGTCTATTAACTTTCAAAGTTGTTTTATGTTGTCATGTGTATTACACGGATTATAAACTAGTAATTAAATACGAAGAACAATAAAAAAAAGATAAAATAAACTATATAAGGGCAAAAGAGTCCATTTATGTTATTAGGGACAAAACGTGAAACAAAATAAGGCTTTAGGGACCATCCGAATGTTAATGGGACGAAATCTGCATATTAGACCAAACCACCAGGATCATTTATGTAATTTACTCAATATATAATTACGTGTGTAACGCTAGTTATTCTTGGTATTAATACATTCATTGTGCTGTTAAGGATGAATTAATGGAATTACGTCCGCATTTATTGAAAGTAACACTAATGTAACAGGAGTTTTAGCTGTGAAATGCAAATATAAACGTATTCTTTTATCTGATTTTTCATCACATTGAATATCATATCAGTAGTTATAAAGATTTTGTTCGAATGAAGTTAGCCGAAGTCTTATAAATGGATATTTCTTCTGATGAATCATCTACATCTATCTACCAAAATAGTCAATACCATGAGAAAATAAGTCGAAAATTTGAAGAAATCACCTCGACGGCTTCAAAAAATAGCGAATGGGCGACTTTTAGGGATCTTTACCAATATCAAGGCTTTTGGTATTACGAGGGATTCCTACAAAGGATTCTGCAAGCTCAAGAACAGTTCAAAGCTCAGCCTACTGACATCATTTTATGTACGACACCTGACTCCGATGCCTTGAGGCTCCAAACTTTGGCTTTTGCTATCATGAATAGGACTACTACTAGTTCATTGGAATCTGGAAATCCTTTGCAACCCAAAATCCCTTGTTTGGAAATGGATCTTTTTCCCATGCACAAAGATCTAGAAATTTCTTTTAACCCTAAATTACCCTTATTCACAACACACATACCTTACACTTCTCTTCCAAAGTCCATCATAGACTCAAAATGCAAGATTGTGTACATGTGCCGAAACCCTAAAGATGTTCTTGTTTCACAATGGCGTAATATAGGGACTACGGATTTGGATAGGATTCCTTTGAACCAAGCATACAGATCATTTTGTAAAGGGGTTTCAAATTATGGGTCATTTTGGGATCATGTGTTAGGATACTGGGAAGCAACTATGAAATGGCCTGATAGGGTACTATTCTTGACGAATGAGAAGTTAGAAACTGAAACATCTTTCAATGTAAGAAGATTAGCTCAGTTTTTGGGTCGGCCTTTTTCTTTAGATGAAGAAAGGCGTGGAGTTGTAAGAAAGATTTCCATGAAGAAAACTAAAGAAATACAAAGAAACAAAGATGTTGAAGATCAAATGGATTATCTTTCTAAAGAGATGAAGGATCATATAGATCAAATCACTAAAAACCGGTTCAAAGGTCCGGGTCTTATAATTGGTTAAGGCAGTGTTATGTGCCAATCGTTGCTTCTTAATTCAGAAGTAGAAAATTTTAATAAAATTGAGCGAAACTCGATCCATAGTACTTTTAAATAGATGTTAGATAAAAATATTTCGATAGTATGATTATGTGGGTTACACTCCTACCTAGACACTTATATTTTCCATATTAATGAAGTTTTTAACTTTCTTAAAGGACAACATTAACTCGATGAACCTAACAGCTATTTATTATTTCCTTTCATACGTAACTTCATCATGTTTTATATGCTTTAAATAATAGACAAAATTGCAAAAATGGTACCTGTGGTATGCAAATTTTTGGGGTTTTAGTCCAAACCTCGAGTTTTTTGGATTCATGGTCCTTTTGGAGTGGTTTGTATGTGGAATTGGTCCCCGGACTTAACACCCGTTAAAAAGGATCTGTTAACTCCCTCATGTGCCTCAAACGTGAGGGTATATCCGGCATTTCATATGTAAGGGACCATTTTTGCATAAACATTTTTTTGGCTTAATTCCTTTTAAAGATCCCCATCGTTTCTATCTTCTTCCCTAATGTTCCCCAACGTCTCTTTTTTCTACCCTTCTTCTTGAGCTCTGTTACAACAACAATGGTTCAATAGTGATCCAGATCCAAAGAAAAGTGTTATGGTTTCCCCAATCCCAAAAGCAGCAACTAAGGCTAAAGAAGTTGAAACAGATGGAAGAAACTTCTTCTTGCTTCCACTCATGCTATCTAAACAAAAAAAAGGTTGTTCTTGATTAGGTTAAGTAAGAGTAAATAACAAGTAGTTATCGATACATAAATTGGAATTACCATGGCTGAGAAAAGTGGAGTCATCATCATCATCATCCTTGACTAATACTGCTTGTTCTTTAGCAACAAATGAGGTTGTGATATTGAGTAGACGAATATTGAACAATTTTGCTACCAGATTGAATATTGATATGGAAACGCCAACAACAGCCAATTCAGCAAAGCCTAAAAGGAGTAACTAGATACATCAGATGCTTATATGAGAATTGGATAATTTTTTTTTCAGAGAAAACATTGTCAATTGAAGAAACCTGATAATATGCATTGTAATGAGATTATGAGAATGAGTTTTTACCTAAATGACCAACAAATGCAGTATCAACCAGTGAAGTAATTGGATCAGCAAGAAGAGCCAATGCAGCTAGCAATGCGATCGACATGATCTCCGTTCCAAGTTCATCTAACTTAACCTTCTCTCTGCACTCCAAAACAAATCAAAACAACTAAATCATACACTTCGATAAGAAAAAATCAATCGTGCCTCTCCTTTATACATTCGTACTCCCCAAATCAACTCGTTTAAACTGCTACTAGAATTCAGATATTTAAAATCGATGGTTAAAGCTAGACAAATGTCAAGAAATATTACCTAAAAACTTTAAATCAACGACGCGAATGGCTTGGATGAAATGGAACCGGAAGGTGAAGAAGGTGCGACTTCATCTAAGTTCTCATCATCATCATCATCATCATCATCATCATCATCATCATCATCATCATCATCATCTGATTCAGTTTGGGATTTAAATCCGGGTTTTTCTACAGGGTGTTCTGGGGATGAAGTGCTAGGGTTTTGCCTGGATGATGATTTGGGTAGAGTTCGAAATCGAATTGAAGAATCAGGGATTTGTATGAATGATTGAACTCTGAAACAACGATTATCATGTTGACAATTTCATGAACGAATAAGATGATTGTGGTGAAAGATACAGATGCTGCTCATAATTTGCAGAATATAAGAAGGAGAAGAGCAACTGGAAACCAGATACAAATTTTGTTACTCACTAATTTTAACAAAAAAAATTGCAAAAATGGTCTCTTACATATGAAATGACGGATATACCCTCACGTGTGAGGCACATGAGGGGGTTAACAGATCCTTGTTAACGGGAGTTAAGTCCGAGGACCAATTCCACATAGAAACCACTGCAAAAGGACCATGAATCCAAAAAACACAGGGTTTGGACTAAAACCCCAAAATTTTGCATACCACATGGACCATTTTTGCAATTTTGTCTAAATAATATAACTTTTTTTATAGTAGACAAAATTGCAAAAATGGTCCCCGTGGTATGCATTTTTTTGGGGGTTTTAGTCCAAACCTCGATTTTTTTGGATTGGTGATCCTTTTGACCATGTTTGCTTGTGATTTCGGTCCCTCGGAAAACTGTAAAGACTAAAATTCCCTTTCTGATATATTTTTTATATATTTTTTATTTAATTTAAAGAAAAAATAAAACAAATAACTAATTTGGGCCTACATCTCTCTCCAACGAACCCAAATATCCACTCACTGCTATAGCAAATCTCGATCCCTCTCGTTCGTATCTCACCAGCCGAAGGAAAAGACCGACAAACTTCACACCGGCCACCACATCCCTCCGCCCCCTTCTGTTGAGTCACTCCAGCCATCACCGGTGCCACTTCTTCCTTCCTTTGTCTCCGTCGACAGAAGACCAAACAGAAGCAGCAGAGGCTGCCGGAGCTCCTCCGTCCGTCACCCACTCCCTCAGTCGAAGCTCTGAAACCCAGTGATACTTTCGCATGCTGCCATAACTCTACCACCCAGCAGAATAAACCAAAATGGCCCAATTTGTTGGCTTCTCGAGTCTCGATTCACTCGTTGACGCCACTATACCTCACTATACCTAAATCGATCCGCCTTAATTCCATGAAGTTCCCCAAATTCGATGAAGGCTTAACCAAATCCCAAATGATTGCACATATGCAAGAATTAGCTTCCAAAAACAAGGTTTGTAAGTCGTTTAATTGTATGAGGTATTACAACACCTCTATTCCTCCTGTGATTTTGAGGAACATTATGGAAAACCCTGGTTGGTACACCCAATACACTCCCTACCATGCTGAAATTGCACAGGAAAGGCTCGAATCCCTGCTCAATTTCCAAACCATGGTAACAGATCTTACTGGTTTACCCATGTCAAATGCTTCATTACTCGATGAAGGAACCGCAGTTGCAGAAGCCATGGCGATGTGCAATAACATCCAGAAGAATAAGAAGAAAACATTCATCATCGCAAGCAATTGCCACCCACAAACGACCGATATATGTAAAACCATAGCAGATGGTTTCGATCTTAAAGTGGTCACATCAGATCTGAAAGATTTCGATTACTCTTCTGGTGAAGAAGATGGATCGGGGTGGCTTTTGACTTTATGGAGAGAGAGAGAGAGAGAGAGAGGGTGGGCCCCATATTTTTAATTAATAAAACAATAAATTAAATAGAAAAAACAAAAAAAAAATATATCAGAAGGGCATTACAGTCATTTTACTATTCAGAGGGGACCAAAAACACAACGAAAGTAGCTCAAAAGGACCACCAATCCAAAAAAGTCGATGGTTGGACTAAAACCCCAAAAAAATGCATACCACAGGGACCATTTTTGCAATTTTGTCTTTATAGTAATATAACATATCTAACTAACTAGGCATTACCTTTTTGGTAAGTGGCATTCCTAAATAATTTTCACAATTTTAGCCCGACAAATATGTTATAAGCACATACCATGCTTGAGTAAGGAGTATAGTTGAGTTGGAAACAGTATTGAATTTCTCCAACAATAAACGTTTAAATATCGATAACAGAAAAATATACCAATGAGCCTCCACTCTATCGATAAAAAAGACTTTGCCTTTCGTATGCAAACCTCTATACATCTTTAAAATGATTTTCCAGATAAATAAACAAATAATGACGTAATGCAAAATGAAAAAAGATAATAATTAAAAAAATAAGTGTTTTCAAGACCTATGGGTTGAACTGCATCATCTTCGGTGCAATTCTCAATAATCTGTCCAAAGCATGAGGAGTAAACTTTCTTGCAAACAAATGACATGCGTGGTTTTTCCTCCCATTATACTCACAATGGCTATCACCCCTTAACTTCTCCAAAAACTGGACTGTCACATCATACCTCGTATACCGTGTCGGGTGGGGTCCACCTTTTGACCAGTCAACAAAAGTCAACGTCCGTCTGGAGTTCCTTGCTCCAAATTTCTTGGAGACAAATGTCGGCAAGTAATGCTCGTCTGCATAACAAGATCCATTGCAATATTTTTGAAAAACTGGAAAATACGTTTTATCTGATATCACCTCCAACGCTAAATCACGATCCATTTCAAACCATTGGGACCCTTTTCTCCACTCTTGGAGTTTAATGGTAGGATGCATTTTTCGGCTGTAGCGCCCTCGGCCAACGGGGCCCATTAAATCATAGGACTCAACAAAAGTTTGATTCGAGTTGATCAAGTATGAGTAGACTGTTGAAAAATTGAATAAGGGAATACATGCTTCTGATAGAAGAACAAATCGTTGGTTGGAGAAATCAAGAAGCGCATTTGCTAGCAATCGGCGTTCGGCTTCGACCATGTTGACTTTTCCCCATTGAACTTCCTGAAATCAATAATTATTCTTCAAACAGGTTAAAGGCAAGAAATGATAATATACTTTTTTTTAATTTGTTTATTATGCAATCTATTTCATTTCTTTCTACTACTAGATTTACTATTATCAAATATACCTCTAGTTATAGTATTATCCATGATTTTTTAAAGTACAATATCTTCAAATTAACGAAAGAAATTAATATACTATACCACACATGTATAAAAACATATTGTTTTTTCATTGTATTTAAACTCATTAATTTCTCTAGCCACATGCATAATAAATTGTGGATGCCCTACGCCCATAATAAAAACCACATGCAGGTTGGACCAAACAAATAATTTCAAAACCTTTCCATTTACAGTTCTTTGCTTTTTTGGGCGTCGGTCATTGAATTATTTGTTGTTTTTCAAATAATTACTCAAATTTCTTTGTATTTGAAACATAAAGAGAATTAGAATTAGTAACAGAATGATTTGTGCTTAAATCAGGACACATTTTTTACCTATTAGCATTTATAGTTACTTAAATAAATTGTTAAAAGCGTGGTTAAAAATAGCATTTTGGAGAAGATAATCGAGACAAAGATGGAAATGATTAGAAATATGATCGTAAACTAAATTACATTTGTTTGAGATGAGAACTAAAATGGATATATATGATTATTTTAGTCATGGATTATTCAAATCATTTTAATTGTAAATGTAATTAAAATATTAGTTCTTGCCTTTTGGACGTTTGGTTTTAGTGATGTTTAAGATTCTGTTGGATACTATAATTTTCTGTCGGTTTCGAGTTTTAATTATTGGACATATCTACCCCTTTAAATTTCCTTAAACATTTTCTTGTTGTTAGTTTTGCTTTGGTAGTTGTATGAAAGGGACAAGAGAAGTACAACAGATTAGGCAGATTGTACAACTGATATAGCCAAAAGTTATGGAAGAGACATTAGGGGTATAATAGTAAATTCAGGCATCCATTTTCTTACCTTACTAGGGATTCTCCGGCCATGGAAAACGGAGTGTTTGGGTTCCGTTCGGTTGGAAAATGAATCGGAGCAATGGACGTAGATGTTGAAAAGACCATTATGCCCTTTGAAGAATCGTTCCCACAACGGCGACAGCAACACCGGACCTCTTGTCAAGAACATGAATGCCACCTTCGGAGTTCTGTGGAATGGATAGTTTCTCACTTTAGGAACCATGGATGCTCGCCAAATCAACTCTTGGTCAGTCATCTGGTGCATGATTTTCGATGGGTGTATGAAATCCTCCAACCTCATGTTCTGTGTCGGCGGCGGTGGCAAGGCGGTGGTGTTGGTGGTGGTGTAGAGAGGGAATTCGTTGAACAAGAGATCGAAGGAGACATTTTTTAGTTGGAAAGTGAGTACTATGCCAAAGCATAAACCAAAAGCGAAGAAAAGGATCAAAGAGAGGAGATTTGAAGGTTGGAATGGGGCATTGAAGAGCTTCAATGGCGGAACTACTGTGTTTTGATTGTTCTTCATTGTTTCAGAGAATCAGAAACAAGTTTCAGTTTATTTCTGAATGGATTTCATTAAGGAACGAAAGATCAGTTTCACTGTAGGGTTTAAGAATGGAGATAATGGATTTTGTAAATGGTGGGGTGTGAGATTAAAGAAGAAGGCCTACAATGTCGTTTGGGGTGGATTTACTTGGTGTAATTGACGACTACTACAAAGTCTACAAATACATAATACAAATATTGCTCGTGTAGTTTACGACTACTAAAAGTCTAAAAAAACAAACATTCTAATAGTCTTCCCGAGGGTAATTTGGCTAAATGACAAAATGGTCCTTGGTCTTATGGTCAACTTTCATATGTTGAACGTCTCATATGGGTTGGTCTAGTCAACATCTTGACAATTCGGATTGACTTAGTTTCGTATTACAAATGGTAGTAATATCATGTGATTGTTAAAAAGTGAGCCATGTGCCATTTATACACTTAAAAGGTTGATATGGACATAGGCTACGCATACATGTTATAAGCATAAAGAAATTAAATGAATTATTAATATTTAGAAACTTTTTTATAAAGTAAGACAAGAAGTTGTATTGTATTTCATGTGTGAGGCCGATGTCAATAGGAATAAACAAAAAATATTTTATCATTTTTCCAAATGGTGGAACAATGTGAGATATGATCTCATTTTGTTCCATATAACATCACAGATTGAGATGCTCGTTAAACAAACGAACAAAACATTAAAAATGAACTCAAGTAGAGAGAAAATCGGTATCTGTGGACTTACTTACATATTGTAAGCAATATCATTAAAGTTTGCTTGTAAACATTTTAAGCATATCGGCTTCTGGCTTCCCCTTGCTTAAGTGTATCTTTTGGTTTTCGAGTAAAAATGTTAAGTTTGGAAGTACTGGGGCCATTAGTGAAATATGATGATAACCTTAAGGGCCCATTATTTCTTTTATATGCCTTTTGGGGTGCATATATAGATTTCTTAGTTGAAGTGTAAGTTTTATATTAATATTCCCAGAAATATATAAAACAAACTAATATTCTTTTATTATTTGACGTGTGTTGGAATATTCTTTGGTAACCCAAACAAGAATTAAGTTCCAGTTGGAAAATTGGAATGCAATATTTTAAAGTTTCCATTGTTATCGTTGTGTCGGTAGACTAGTATTTTAGGTCTAATAATTTACCATAAAAGCATAAATACCTATGTCATTTTATCAAAATAAACCTTAAATAAAATTAATAATACTTCAAATATTGAAATGATATCTAAAATTTGAAATCATTTTGCATTTAAAAATGTAAAAGATATGGTCATAATTCAAAATGTAATATTAAATTTAGAGTCAAAGTAATTAAATGAAAAACAAAACAAATCACAACTTCTACTATTTATAAGTAGGATATTTTAAGAAAAAGAAAACATCAAATCAAAATTGAATTCGTATGTTGATAACTAAAATGTATCTAATATAGCTAGTAAAAATTAATTGACCATTTTAAGAAAAAAAAAATTCACAAACGGGAGCTAATGGAAAATAATAATAATAATACTAATAATAATAATAATAATAATAATAAGAAATGTCAACTTTGCCACGCGTTCTATTTTTTATTCAAGAAATTTGACAATCCATGCAATTCTGTTTAGATTTGGTGCCAAAAAACAAGGAAAATTATTTATAATTATAAATATGAAAAATAATGATTGAGACTTTTATTAACGAACTCTAAAGTCATATGAAGAACATGGAGTGTGAAGACAATACCGGAGAAGTATTTTGTTGATTTGGTCCGATGAAGGTTCAGTGATAGCCTCCATGTCCCTCCCGATGAAAATGCCCTTAATTATGTTATTACCTTGATACCAATTTGCAGAAAATTATTGATAAACAGAAACAATGAGACCTTTACGGCTTAGTTTTCTTTGAGGATTCAACCTCAAAATAGATATTCAAGCAGCGTTCTTGAAACTCTCAATGAACATTTTTGTGGTTTTTGGTAGAATGGATGAGTAATTAAGTAACGAATTTCACCCTTTTGATCATAATTATAACATAAAAAATTTGACATTTAATTGAAAATGTTATTTAGATTAACTGAGTTTTCAACCAACAAAAAAACTGTCAAAACTGATCGATGTTGCTCTCGGCAGTTCTCGGTTGATTGGGGATATATTATATGTCACTCTTTTTTATGTCCGTGAAGCATGAAAAAACGTTTAGCATCTATATGTGCTAATTCTTTTGGGATGGAGACTGTGACTCTGGTAAGCACGGTTGTTCTTGAGGAGGTGTGAGGTGTTCTTGAGGAGGTGTGAGGTATGTGACTACGTATGGCCCATTGTCTAGGGCTTGGTTTTTTTTTTATATACTAGGAAAATTATATTGGAAATTCGTCGCTAATCCAATGCTATATATAAAAAAGGGTTTAGGTCATTTTTAGTCACTTAACTATTTTTAAATTTTAAAAGGTCATCAAACTTTTCACTTTGTGCTCATTTAGTCACTTAACTTTTGGTTTGGTCACATTTAGTCACCCAACTTTTAGATTTGTGCTCATTTAGTCACCTAACTTTTAAAATCGTGCTTTAAATTTTTTTAAAAGTTTAGTGACTAAATGAGCACAATTTTAAAAGTTTGGTGACTAAATGCGACCAAAACAAAAGTTAAGTAACTAAATGAGTACAAACCAAAATTTTGATGACCTTTTAAAACTTAAAAAGAGTTAATTGACCAAATAAGCACAAAACCAAAAGTTAAGTAACCAAAAATGACCTAAACCCTATAAAAAAATTATATTATGTGTCAAATCTTATCTAGTATTAATGGATTTTGATTATATATATATATGTATATATATATATATATATATATATATATATATATATATATATATATATATATATATATATATAGAGTTAGGTTATTGTGTTCTAACTATCTATTGTGTATGTAGGATTCATTGTGGACCAATCATTTTAGTTATTTTAAGAAAGTAATTAATGCATATTACATGTTGAAGATATAATGAGTATTAATTAAATCTTCAGCATTTAATATGCATTAAATACTTTATTAAAATAACTAAAATGATTGGTCCAGAATCAATACTACATGCACATAATAGATAGTAAAAACATTTGAATATAACTCTCTCTCTCTCTCTCTCTCTATATATATATATATATATATATATATATATATATATATATATATATATATATATACATACTAGATATGTTTATGGCTGTGCTAAGCACGACCCATGAAGGGTAATTTTGGTATTTACTGAAAGAGATTGCATGATTCAAAGATTAATGCTATAACAAGTAAGGTTTTAGAAGTATGTCTTAAATAAAAAAAATGCTTATATTATCAAAATTAATGTTAAAAGGTTTTAGCCTAAATATCCATATTATTATTAATACTATACATTTTCCATAAATTGAAAATTATACTACTATTTGGAGCACAAGTTTAACCAACAGAAAAGAATAGTAGCCAAACTTACATTTCCTTTGCTAAAGTTTTAATAATGAGCAAAAGTTTTGTGTCATCACTAAGTCATTGCAGTACAATTTTATAATCAATAAGCTTTCAATCCATTACACCTTAATTACAAAAATGAAAGTCCAATGCTATAATAGTCAAATAGTTAAAAGTACATTGCATTTTCTGCATTAACATAGCTTTGATAGCCATTTCTATACCTAAAAATGACCACTATCCAAAATCTGTAGAGATAGGTCACACACATAAAACAAAATTATGTTATAATTTAATTTGTAAGATTTAATTTCTACTATGTTGAAAAGAAAAAAAAAACAGACCCAACAGATATTGCCAGCAATGCATCAAAACTAATTAAAAGAAAAGGAAATTTTCTAGAAAGATATCTTTGTCATTTAAAGTCAATGTAGTTTTCATGATACGTGCTCCCTTGGTGTTGGTGATGCATTAGAGTGGCCTTTGAGCACTTGCATCTTCCAGGAACGACTTTACAGCAATAACGAAAAGTCAGTTAATGGCAATTGCGTAAATTATATTAATTCTACTGGACAAAGATAAATTGCATAAAGTAGAAGCATAAATAATGTTATTTCTGGCATTTAATCCTCTCAAGCTATTTTTTATGAACATTATTTTCCAGAATCTAAATCTTACCAATTTATCTAATTCTTTTTTCCATAATTACTTAATTCAATTCCTCTTCCTTTTAAATTTAAATCCTATTCCTTATATAACTCATTAGAAATTCTTTTTTGCAGATTCCGACATCTTTCCATTTTTTCTTCTTATGATGAAAGATATGTGTCAAGTTCTTATAACCATCATTGTATCATATTGCTCCTAAAAACCAAAAAAAATAAATAAATAAATAAACCTAGAAGTAAACACCAGAATAAATTTACTAACCATATACTTTATAAGTCAAGAAATTGAGTTCTAAAACAGTTAATAATCAAATTAAATGAACAAAATGGTTATATGTAGAAATTAGAAACCAAACCTTAGCATCAAATAAACTGTTGATGGAAATCTGATTCTGATTGGTTGTTATATGTTTCCTCATCTAGCAAGTGGAACAAATTCGCTTCTATTTGCCCAATAACCGGATCTTGTAACCAGCCCCATAGTAAATGGACATCATCGGCTGATTACAACCATCAACTTGAAGATGTTACATAGAAGTAAAGCAGATCTTCTTAAATAACTTGGTACAAAGTGGGAATCGTTCTATATATGATTGAGAACATACCCAGGTTGAACATCATCAATTCAAATTGAAAATACTTGAGAAAATGATTAAATCCCAAAAACCTTGTACAGAAAATGAAAAAAAAATCTTGAAAGTACATCAAGATAGCGGTCCTCCCATGACCCGAAGAAGAAAGATACACTCCGACTAAAACATACATAAAATAAAAATCTTTAGGATCCCTAACTAAAAATGAAAACCCATTGATTTTGCACTGATGTAATATTAATCCAATAACTTTACAGGGGATGGCAGTTTCACTATAAACATGAAATCGTAAATCAATTTGTGAAGGGAAGACATTGGGAGACGAAAGAAGAGAGAAAGAGAGAAGAGGGGATCAGAAACACAATAAAAAATTAATAAAATCGTAGATGGTAATATGAAAGTCTAATGAATTTCCCG